AATTTAAACTATATTAAATAATAAAATAATAACAATTAGATTAAGAGAAGATGCCCCTAATATTAAACTTTCTTTTCTAATCCAAGAATTTTAATTTTACAATCGAATATAGTACAATCTTCAAGCAGAGAACCCTAAACACATTCCCATAATTTTATTATTTTCACGGCCCAGTTAGAGTCTGTTCTGCTTCTGAGTGCCTAGAAAAATTTTCTAATAGTCACTACTCACTACTCACTAGTAAGTGCTTCTTTTTTTTTTTGGGCCTTCGTCCTTAGTAAGCTCTAAACTGTTGTCGATGATAGAATTAGAAAGTTTTAAGCCCATTACGAGAAAACCAGGCCTAGACCCACTAATGAATATCCAACATTAGTCCCTAGCGTAAGCCCCCTCTAATGAATACTTTACATTAGGTTCTGGAGAGTGTAGGCCTTGCCCCCAGTCAATCTTATCATCTCATTCCTACGGACTAGAAAAGGAAAAGAAAAATATTAGGACTTAATTGAAAAAAAATGAAAGGTTTTTATGGTAAGTACCAAGTACCAACCGTTTACAAAAGGGGCAGATTACCCAATTCAAGGTTTTCTAGTGGGGAGTTATGGTCATATACACTTACAAGTAGCATACCCACTGTCTATGTCGACAATAAGACTTGAATATAAGAACTTCACTCGAAGAATTCGAATCTTACTAAGTGACAGAAAAATTGGGATGCAAAATTCATTTAGTCACGTGGTAAATCTAAGCTTATTTTGGCAATTGGCACATGTAGCAGCAAGGCAAACTTTTCCTTATATGTATTAGAATAAATTATACAAGTCGATAGAAAAAGGGGATGTAGAAAGGATGATCGAGGTTCAAATTTAATCATAAAAGTGTAAAAAGTTTTTATATTAACCGTAAAATTTTTTTAATTACCAAAAAAAGTTTACAAGCATCAACGCAAACTTACGGACTTAAAAATGTGGTTGTCTTCTTCGTTGGGTTTTTTTTTTTTGGTTTTATTAAACAACTTCTATGTTACACTTTCATATCATAATTAATAAGAATGAAATTTCAATTTTGTGAACGGAATATGAACTACTCATTCTATGGTGCCTTGGGTTATTTCATTTTCGAATGGGAGTTGTTGTTAATTTGGATTTTGGAATATGTAAAAGGTGGTTGGGAATGTCGGAAACATCATAGTGAATGCCCTTACTTAGGCTTCATTTTCAGAAACATACTTCATACAAATATTGGTTGAGAATCCCATTCCCTCTAGAATAGACGTATATCCAAAATTTCCAACTGATTAGACGAATTTCTCTTTTCTCATGATGAAATTCAACCACTAGACATATATATGACATCTCAATCTCACACCATAAAGGAATTATGATTGTGAATAATATGTAAAGATCACAATCAACCACTACTAATTAATATCTTGAAATTTAATGAGCTTCAATTTTTAAATTCATAGAAAATTTGATCTAAAAAATTATTACATCAATAAAAATTTCATCTCTAATAACCTCAAACCTCCAAACTAAGATACTAAAAATTGGAGGGGTTTTGATGGATAGATTGAAATTTGACATGATGATGCTATATTAGGTAGGGGACTATTGTAGTGCCTTTTTTTTTTTTTTTTTTTTGAACATTTTAGTTATGAGGCCGGCTCGAACTGTTGCCTTTCGAAAAGAGGATATGAACTTTACAAGAGTGACTAGAGTCGCTTGGTCCACAGGGTCAGGTTCATTGTAGTGCCTTTTCTTGTTCTCCCCTAGTTTGTGACGTTGCATGTGTAGTTATTCAGAGTTTATGAATACTAGATCTGGTAACTCTTTTGTTATGATGTATAATATTTTATGATATTTTTTTTATTAACCTTTTAATATTGGATAACTACATTGAATCTCGATTAATCTAAAATTGAATTGCATTGGACCTCATATGAAGAAGCTCTTTTAACGTTTGTTTTTCCATTCATAAGATTTGAATTCGAAATCTTATTTAAAGAGAACTGAGTTATTTTCATTCAGACCAACAATTCATTAGTATAACACTTATTAGCATAGAAAGTTTGCAGTATTTAATTACTTCATTTGAATAGAACACATCTCTCTGTGTTTGTGTTGTACTTAACTTCTTCTTAGGCTATGTAAGGCATTTTTCATAGATAAAGTTGATGTGTGTATATATATATATATAATGAGTAGTGAGATAAAAATAATTTTTTTGCATCAATTTTTATATAATTTTTATATGTAATTAAATAAGCGAATATATTTAATATCATAAGTTTCAAATAAATAAACAAAACTAATTATTTAAATGACACATAAAACTAGACAAAAAGATAATATAAAAATGTTACCTCTAAATCATTTTTTATATAAAATAATGTCATATTAATCTAAGAAATTGTAAACCAATTAATAACAAAGTTTATCCTTATCTTATAATTAAGATTTTATTTTTTAAAGAGATTAATAAAAAATAATTTTTTATAACATTTTTAATTCAAACATAAATAATTTATTTTTTTACTAAATTAAAGATAAATTAATTGTAAAATATATATAAATTAATCTAAATTTACCTTGAATGAAAAAAATTTTATATTTACTTACAAACCCAGTATAGATATGACAGGATCAGGAAATGGATTTCTTTAATTTGGGACACGACATCTATATATAATAAAATGCAGCCTTCATCATAACCACTAAAGAATAAGACATACCATCAAGCGACTGAAGTATTGACAATCATTGACTCAATTAGCTTTAAAAAGATGATTTCAACTTGCATTTAAAAAACTATGACAATTATATATTCTTATCTAGTTTCTAAATAATTTTGTTCCTCTAAAATTATTGGAGAAAAATAGACAAAGATAAGAATTTTCGGATGAATACACTCAACAGAAGTGGGGTCAATAGGAATCAAAGGTTGACGTTAGATGAAGTGATGAACTATTAATTGGCTTTAATAAATAAAATAATAAAAAATGTTAAGAGATTAGTATTTTATCAGTTGAACTTACAAAAAATTAAGTAAAAAACTTAAAAATATGTCATTTCAAATAAAATATAAAAAAAAAGTTTTCAATTTTTTTAATAATAACTTATTAAAATAATATAATTTTAAAATATATTTTTATTTAATATTATATAAGTCTTGCTGATAAACATTTTTCCCAAGTTAATCCATGCCTCTTTTAAAAAAGTCTTCCTCCATATATTACAATGGTCTCTTGGGGACAGTTATCTTGGTGATTCTATACATGCGTTGCAAGTAGGAAAAAAAAAAAAAGAAGAAGAAGAAGAAAAGAGAGGAATATGTAAAAACCCCATTTCTTGACTTGATATGGTTGCTTTTTGAGTTTAATTTTTTAAACGACAGAGAGCGATTTCTTATAATAGATAAGCTACGAAAAACAAAAGTTAATCAATATCAAGATGACAGATTAATTTGATAGATTAATATGTGTTTTAGTATAGTGTGATTCGGGTTTAGTGCGTCGAACATCATTTTAACCTCTCTTTCAATTCAAGTCTAAGAAGCACGTGCACAACAACCGCGGAAAAGCAAACATGATGTAAGAATTAGATGAAGATGATGATTATGTTATAATTAATTCTTTTAATGGAGATTCTTAATTAATGATACAAAAGAAGGTATGTAGAGTAATTAATAAATGAATTTGTTTATACAATAAATATATTTTTTATAATTAATTTACATAAAAAATAATAAAAATTTATTTTTATTTTAATGTTATTATTATGTAGACAATTTTAATTAACTAATTAATTAAATTCAAATTAACTTTTATTATTTTTTATATATATTAATTATAAAATAATGTATTTATTGCACCTTAAAGGCACATGATAAAAAATCTTTAATAAATTTATTGGCAAAAAAAAAAAAAAAACTTCTTCATCTATATAATCAAACTTAGAACTCTCATTCTTTCTCTCTATCTCTCTTCTATGAAAATTTTATTCAATTGACCTGTTTCATGAACAAATATAAATGGAATACGATGTGGAAAGTTTAGTTGATGACCCAACAAAGTTTGAAGAATGATTAGTTTTAAGAATGATTGGTGAGTACAATATTGATTAGTTAATTTGAATATTCAACGGAAATGGAAGAACCATCAAAAGGATTATTGATGTTTTGGCCAGGAAGAAAATTAATGAAGATTGGTGGGAGTCCCCTTTTCGATCTTTCATCAAATCTAAGCGCCACTTCCAATTTAATTTCATATTTAAAGTGACTTTTTTCACTCAAATCCGCACGCTTAAGCCATCATTATCACAAGAAAACAATACCTTATTTTATGCATAAATCTGGAAGATCCTTGAAGCATGCCTGAATTCATCTCCCTAATCGAGAATGAAGAATTATGTTTTGACAATCTTAATTTATTATGCAATCCTTAACATAAACTATAACACAACTTGGGGACCTAGATAATGTTAAGTATTATTTTTGCTAATGATTAATAGGCCCAATTATGCCAAAGGTTTTTTTTTTTTTTTTTTCGATAGTCAAAGTCACATCAAAGTTGATATGAAAGCAAGAGATTAAATTAATATTACTAAAAGACAGAGATTAAGTGGTCGATTAATTAGTGCTAATTAATGAGAGAACTTGAAATTTTTTTTTCTTCCTATACACCACTCGACCTTTATTTTTTTTTTTAGAGAGTATAGAAAATTAGAACGTTTTGGCGTTCAGAACATCCATCATAGTCATCCATTGAGTGGGTCTCAAGGTAGAGTTCATTTAACAGATGGCTGTGATAAATATTTTTAATATCAGGACAACCTGATTTTTATATTTCAGTTTTTATATATATACATATATATATTTTCGTTCGGGTGTTTTAGGGTAGGTTTTTGTATATTTTGAACTTATTCCTCCTGCTTCTTTTAACAATTTTAAGGGTCTATTCTCTACATCGATCTAGTGTTAAATTAAGATTTAAAGTTTGTATTTAATTTATAAAACAATATTTATTTATGAGTGAATCTAACCTAATATCATATACCCTACATTATGATTCTTATAATATCTTCATGTTAATGTGCTTTGGAAGCTTGGTTTAGGTATTTTCTGCTGATTTACAAATGGTATATCAATGTATAATTTTAATTAATTATCTTTGAATACTTCCCATCAAAAAAGAAGAAATTATCTTAATTTGAATACTAACATTAAGGAGGAAAAGCAAAAGGAAATGATTTTTATACAACATTTTTGTCTCACTTTTTTGTATAATTTTTTTTATTTCACATTTTTGTACAACTTGATGTGTTATTAAAATAATTGGTTCTTTTAATTCTTGTAAGACTCATGATATTGAATACATCCACTTATTTAATGACATGTGTAAGTTATATAAAAAAGTGGAATAAAAATGTTATCCCTATGGCACCACCCAAAAGCAAAATAACGATGCTCCATTATCAAAAGAAACGGTCCCTCAAGTAGGAACAATAAGCACTCAAGTTATATACATTAATATGTTGATGTTATGTTAATTCATCCTTTGCGGTTTGTTAAATATATAAAATAATTATAAAGATCTCCTTAAGTATACCTAATTAAGTGCTCTAAATGAATCAAAGTAGTGATTAACAAAGTTTTCATTTATCAACAATGAAAAGGAGTGAAAATTCCAATGAATAAAGGAGGGTACAAATGACAAAAAGGAAGTCAAAGAGAGGAGTAGGAAGAAGGGACGGAAAAAAGGAAAAAGAGATTCTAGTGTAGTTTAGTCAATCACTATTGCTTCATAAATTTCAAATTAATTTATATATCTTTGTACTCCAATATTAATATTCCTACCCAATTAAAGCCACTAAAAACATTAATTACTAAGCCAAAACAATGCTAATTATGCTCTTACTTTTCATCCCAATACGATTCCAAAAGCTACCATTTTTGGAAGGGAATTGATGTTTGACTGTTCTTGATCACATAGAAAATCATAGAAGCACTTAGTGGTGATCTTTTCATGTATCTAGCTTGAAAGCAAATTCCTCAATTTATTGAGCAATAAACACTAATGAACATTATAATAATATAATTATAATGTGATATATAATTGTACGTTTATAATTTTTATATATCATTAAATTAATAAATATGTATTTAATAATAAGTTGTTAAATAAAAAAAATCATTTAATGACATGTTAAAATTATAAATTTATAATATTATATCATTTTGACCAGCGAAAAGAACGGACAAAATCGAATATAAGCCTTGATTCTAATTATAAACTAAACCATCATTTAAGAAAAAAATGTACTCCCACAAGAATGTTCTATTCTTTGGCATATTTTTTACTGTAACTAGGTCGGGTTAATTAATAAAAATGATGTCTTGTCAAAATAAATTCTATCACTAGAAAAGAGTACTAACAAGGAATACTCACCCTGTGGCATCTAATTAAAGAACAAATTAAACATCATATAAGACCTAAACAAATTCCCATTGAACTAATCAGTATTACCTCCATCTGAATTTAATATAGGTAAAAAAATAAAAATAAAAAATCTATACTATTTAGGTATCAGCACTAAAAAATGGAAATTCTGTTTGTCCTCTATTTTGGTTGAAAACAACTAGACCCACCCCGAATTGTTGGTTCATATGGGTATCTAGACAAAATAACATAAAACAAAATTAATTAATTAATTATTCAATCAGAGGATTATTTTAATACCATAATGCTATGGACCATACAATATTATAAAATAATTAATGACAAATAAAATGTCATGTCATATTGTGTAATTAAGTAAATGCAGAATAAAACATTCTGCATCTATCATTTCCATTATAACAAATAAACTAAAAGCAAGTAGAAAGAGGAATCCTCATGTGAACCACAGTCTTTCTGTAACTACTATATGAGTTGACTAACATTATTTCATTAAGAAGTACCTAAAAACAAAAAAATTATGTAACTAACTAATTTTCTTTCATTAATGTCAATTGTTTGTATAAAAATTAATATAAATCCAAAGATTTCCCTTTAAAAAAAAAAATTGGAACCAAACTCTCAACTCAAGTCAAGTCATGATTAGCATACCATCCTTTGACCTACGCCATAGTCCATTGGACACAATTCATTGTTCCCATAAGCGTTATTTTATTTTGACCTTTTTCTAAAACAATAACAATATGTTTGGATTGAAAGGAATGGAGAGAAGGGAAGGGGAGGGAAAAAATTTTCTTTACATTATTTTTTCTTTTAATTTAGGGCTTGTTTGATATAGCAATTTGGAGGTATCAGTTAGCGGTTTTACTCAAACAACTAAGAATAGATGTTTGGTAAATTTATTTGTTTCGAAATTACTACAAATTATGTATTTGGTAAAACTTTTTATTTAGCAGTTTGAGATTGATGAATAACGATTGAGGTTCAAATTGTTAATGAATTGAAAAAGTTATTTAAAATAGCTTTTTCTACTAGACACTTAGCAAATTGGAATTTTTTTTAATTTTATTAACAAATTTATCATTTTTAATTTTTTAATTTTTTACTATGGTTTTTAATTAGTACTTATCTAATTAGTTTTAGCGTTATTTTTTGTTTTTAATAATATTAAATGATTATTATATCTTTATTTTTACATTAATTTATTATAAAAATAAATTTTCAAATTAGACAAAAAGATTAAATTTTTTTGTACTTTATTTAAAACTTATATAATTTTTTCTTTATTAAAAATAAAAATTAGTGTATGATTACACTATTGTAATTTATTTATTTATTTTATTACTATTATTTTTATAAAATTAATAATTTTAATATTAAAATTTATAAAAAGATAAAAATACATTTAATTATTTCTCAACATATACTTATCAGCCATTTAATTTTAAATAATAACTGCTAATTATTATATAACTAAATAGTTATATTAATCGAATATATATTTACTATTTACCACCCACTTTTTGTTATTTGTCATTCGTTATTTTTTAACTAGCTCTCACTATTCAGTACCACTTATTCACTATCCATTACCCGTTACTTATTATTTGTTGAATTTTAACTATTATACCAAATAAGCTTTTAGTTACTTATTAAAATAAGGGGAAGAGAGGGAGGGAAATGGAAGAAAATGGAGAAAAAAGTTTCCACTCGCTCCCCTCCCCTTCCCTTTCCTTATATTCTCCTCAACCCAAACATAGAGTAATCCCTTTCCCTATATTCTCCTCAACCCAAACATAGAGTAATACTCACTACTCGTAAATATTGTTCATGATATATATTCCCATCAAGTTCAAAAGATGAAACCACAATGCTCACAAGTCTATTGCAAAACCATTTCTAGCAGTTTTGTTAGCTAATTCTGTTCTCTTCTTTTTGTAATCAAAGAGGAATTATAAAAGTCCGTACGGTATGACTAGACCATACATATGATTAGAATCGAAGACAAATGGTATATATCTTATCATTTTCTTTAATGATACTACTAAACTTTGGTTCAAAAATTTTCATTATATTTAAAGCATCTAATTAATTTAAAAAATTTGCCATTGCATAAATAAGATAATGTTTTAAATGGCACTAGGCCTTGTAAACCTGTTAGTTAGTGCATCCAATGCCTTCATTGATACAAAGATTCGAATTACAAGCCTACCATGTTAATATATATCCCTTTCCCTTACCCTAAATTTTAACCATTCAAAAGAAAAAAAAAAAAGAGAAGATATTGTTTTAAATGAGATGTATGCAAGGTTATGAATAAAGCTTCAAGTATATATATACCTTTCTGCTTTACATGCCACTAGATATATATAGCACCCACCATACCATTTCTTTTGCTAGCAAACTAAGCACCCCAAATTGCCATATTTTGCATATTAAGGTTTGCAGCACTTCTCTAGTTCTTCTTCCTTTTCCCTTTCCTCCCTTGCAAATCCCTTAACCAATTGTTGCGTATTCAACAAAATCAAGGTACATATATATGGCGGTCCATGAATCTATATGGGGTTTCTTGATTTTTTTTTTCCTAAGTATAGAATATGGATCATGTGTGGCTATCTCTCTGTTTTTCATCAACAAGATTGAATAAAGTTCATTAAAAAAAAAAAATTGGGTAATCTTATTTATAAGTTTTTTTTTTTTTGTAATTAGGAAATACAGGTTGATTTTTTCAAGATGAAGTTGTTGTCTACTTGGAAGCAAGTACAAACCTTGGTGAATTTCCAAGGAGGAGGAGGAGGACTCACCATGAAACATTTCTTTTGCCGGAAAGACAAGGTTATCTTTGTAATGGGGGCAACTGGCACCGGCAAGTCTCGACTGGCTATCGACCTCGCCACTCGTTTCCCCGCCGAGGTGGTCAACTCAGACAAAATGCAAGTCTTTAAAGGCCTCGACATAGTGACGAATAAAGTCACTGAAGAGGAGTGCCGTGGGGTCCCACACCATTTACTTGGTTTTGTGGACCAGGATGCGAATTTCACCTCCGCCGATTTCCGCCACCACGCTTCCAAGGCGGTGGACTCCATCTTGACCAGGGACCGCCTCCCCATCATCGCTGGCGGGTCCAATTCTTACATAGAGGCATTGGTGAACGACGACCCCGAATTTCAGCTCCGATATGAGTGTTGCATTCTCTGGGTGGATGTATCCTTGCCGGTGCTCCATTCTTTCGTGGCGGAGCGGGTGGATAAGATGATTCAATTGGGTTTGGTTGATGAGGTGAAGAAAATATTTAACCCAACGGCAGATTACTCTTTGGGAATTCGTCGTGCGATTGGGGTTCCTGAATTGGATCAGTATATCCGATTGGAACCCACCGCTGACAGCGAAACCCGAAGGAAATTACTAGAGGATGCCATTACCAAAATTAAGGAGAACAATTGTCTTCTCGCTCGCCGCCAGCTGCAAAAAATCCACCGGCTCTACAACCAATGGAGTTGGAGAATGCACCGGATCGATGCAACGGAAGTGTTCTTAAAACGTGGAGAGGAAGCGGAGGTGGCGTGGGAGAGGCTCGTGGCGGGACCGAGCACCATGATCGTTGACCAATTCCTCTACCATAACAACGGCGTTGTGGTGGCGGACCCCACCACCGTGATGGCAGCACCTGCCGTTTCCATCCCCGCTGTCGCCGCGGCCAGCCGATAAAAGCCATGGCCCACGAAATCTCCTCCGGACACCTGATAGTGACACGTTGCAAGCCGCACCTTACTCTATCTTTAAATTTTGTTTCGTGGCAAGGATAATAATTGGAACACTTTCAGTTCAACATATCTAATAACATCTATCAGTTTATTTATTAAGAAATTAATATTTTTAAATTTGAACTTAAAATAAGAAAATTTTTAAAAGTAAATTTTAATGATTAAATTAAAGATATTGTTAAATGTGTTGAATTGAAAGATGTACTAATTATTTTCTTTTGTGGTAAATTTATTGTAAAATCAAAAACAAGAAAAAAAAAATAGAACTTTTTTTTTTTTTTTTGAATTGGGCAAACTTGGGGGGTGGGGGCAGGGAGTGTCTAGCATTGAATCCAAAACTTTAATGTCCTAAACATTGCCTTTATAGGGGATGATTATTAGACTAATGATAATGAGTGATAGGCAAAAGAACCTTATTTTGTAATGTGGATTATAAGAGAATGATCTTAAATATAGAGTATCGTCTCCTTATTTAAGAATTTATGTTTTATAATTTAATATACTTTAAATTATAAAATATTAAAAAATATAAAATAGTT